CAACATTTCCATTATAATAGGAAGATAATACCCATGGTTCTGTTGGATGGATATCAACAGATTTTACACGATGCTCTGAACGTGCTACCAATTTATCTTTAATATCTAATCTATTCATCTTTAGATTTAATATTTTTGCTATATATTGTTGTTGTTGTTGTTGTGTTATTTTCAGAATATATTATTAGAGGATGAGGTTATTGTTGTATTTAGTGATGATCATTGTGTTGATAGGAATTAAAAATTTAGATTTGTTAAAAAAATACAAATTACGGCAAGTGATGACTTACATTTTTTTTAGGCTGATGATTTTATTGTTGTGTTGGCAGTGATGCTGGCAACACGTAAGCTTATTCTTAGCAACCAGCCACCACCATCAGGTCAATCCAATAACATCCTCTTAGTCTGTATTAATTGGAAATGAAAGAGAAGAACAATGCTATTAAATTATGTAATAATTGAAACATCAAGATTAGAATATTAGCTGAATGAAACGGTGGTAGCATAACGATCTGTAAATTTTCCCTCCATAAGTAAATTTAAAAAAATGCCATTAAATGACATCTACGACACGACACAATCAACCTCAACAACAATACCCAATAATAATGCCTCATCATCATCAATACAGACTCCAACATCACCCAATAATAATAATAATATCGGATTAAGAACATCAACAAGATCAGAGCCTCAATCATGGGGAGAATTATTAAACATGTATAGAAGTGATAAGGTCATTCCTCATCCAAAAATTGAAAAGCCTGAACCAGTTTATCGTCAAACAAGAGATAAAAGTTTAAAATGGAGAGAAGAACAAAGACAAATTAATCCAGTTCTACAACAATTTATTGATACTAAAAAAGAGGAAGAATTTAAAAAATTGGAACAAGAAATGTCAATTGATACAATGAATAGAGCTATGGATAGATCAAATTTATTGGAAAGTCATTTTGATATTGTAACATTAAATGATAAAACAAGGAGATCATCATTGGATGGTAATTCAATTAAATCATATTTTCCTCAACCTAGAGAAGCACTTGGTAAAAAAATTGATTATTCAAATGTTTTAAAACATTCTGAAAGTGTTGAATTAATTGATAGAGAATCTAAAAAGAAGAAATTTCAAAAATCAAAACCATCATTTGATGATTTTTTCCTAATTTATAAAACTCAAAATCCAATTGAAGATTTAAAACAAGAACTAGCTAAAAGAGATGAATTTATAAAAACTAGATATGATACAGTTATAAAGAAGAAATTTCATCCTATTTTACAATTACATAATGATCCAAATATAGAACAAAGAGAAAAAGAGTATGTTTATATATATTTATTAATATTTTTATTAATTTAATATTTAATAATAACTAATTGAAATTAATTGAAATATTAATACTTTTAATAATGATATAATAGAAAAGAAGAACATTTACAAAAAGAAGCAGCCATATTAAAAATGGCAAGAGAACCACCAACGGTACAAAAATTAGCAGAAAATAAGGCATTTGATATTATAACAAAAGAAATTAAAGATGAAAATAGAACTCAATATCTTCAACATATACATGATGTACAAGTAGAAAGAAGACCAATTGCTAAAGTGAAATATGATTATGAAAAGGAATTAAAAGATAGAGATTTATATCATGATGATTTAAATGAAAAGAGAGCATTAAATACTAAAACATCTATATATGGTGGTAGAGAAA